ATTTTCATAATTAACAAAATAATAATAATAATAATAATAATAAAATAATAAAAAATAAACTCCCTTATATTCATATCCTGGGATTTTCAATTCCCTTTTAATCCATTCCTTTTTCACATATTGTTGCACTGTACTCAAGTTTTCATGTATGTAGAATTTATATACTTTGTATTGTATTTATGCCAATTTTCATTTAAATGATAATTTTTACAAATTTTTACATCACAACTCTAGTTAACAGAAGATGTTTCTAACACCTTGGCAAAGCTTAATCTTCAGCATGTAGGTTATTTTCCAACCTAGTTTCAGGCCGAATTATTTGTAAAATTAATTACTTGAAATTATTTGTTAACAAAGATGGTGCTAAATCACGCTAATAATATTTCTAACTTTGTAATTTATAATTCAATGAGTTCATATGATTTATAATATAATTCATTTATAATTTTTTCAGCAGTATTGAAATTAATAGCAGATACTGATAATGATATACATTTAGATTACAATGATTTAGATTGTCATTGCCTTCTTCATTCATGCTTTTATGCTACATTCCTAATATTTCATAATGGCATACAGGTAAGTTTAACTCATTCACCAAACATGTAAATCTCTAATTCAGGCCACTTTTGTTCTTACGTGTGCTGTATCTTCTATTTTCTTTAATATATTGTTCAGCTAATTTCAAAAGGTCTTGTGGAAAAGTCACTAAACATTGGTAGTCGATCCGAGTTTCTAGTTCCAGTGATCCCCCAGCTCTTTCTTTTTTTGTACTTATTTACTGTATAAAAATGTAGCGTAAAAATTTCAGTTCACTAAGTAAAAATACTTTTTAAATTTATTCCTTAAAAATATTGCAAAAATTTTCACCTTTACCTTAGCATATCTTTTTACAAATCCCTCTGATAAGAAAAAATAAGGAAAGAAATTAACTCAGTTTCGGTGATTGATACCTCGGTGCAAATTATATGTAACATTTTTCCAAAAGCATAGAGTTTATATGGATATCAATAAATTAAGGATTATTTCTCCATCTACTTTTCTTAACATGTTTATTCCAGAATTTTCTTTTCACACTGTAACGCTTAACTTTATGAGTTTTCTATAATCATTCAATTTCTCTAGCCATGGCAACTTTGCATACCTTCTGACAAGTAGTTATATTTTTAACCGCTGTATTTTAATTCCTGTTGACTATCAGTACATTATTCACTTGTTTCGCAAGTGCAACTTTCATTTTATACGCAAATCTACGTAAAATAGCATTAAAACTTCAGTTATGCGGAGCTCCTGATTGATTGCTTGTTTTAGATTGAATGAAATTAAGCTTAATGTTACTGTTAATTAGCTTGTTATTAATTTAATTGTATGTTTATAACTAATTATATGTTCAGATATTTCCAAGTATATTACACAAACTTTTGCATCCTAATTTTTAGTTTTTGGTTAAAAAAATAAGCTTATTTATTGAGAGGCCTGATTGATTACATTAATTTGCAGTACTGTTAATCTAATTCTTTTCTTATAGATAAATTTTAAAAAAACTTCTTAACATAATAATTTAAATTTATTTACAATTTATACGTCAGTGATCCAAACGCACAGTAATGTTGTTATAATAGATTTCATGCTAAGCTTTTTTTTAATTTAACTATTAATTTCTGCAAACATTTACATGATTGCTTTAATTAACAAAAAATATTTCTAGCACACTTTAACACACTTTGATATGGAATAATTTTTTGCACTCTATTAAATTTTCCAGTCTAGTTCAGACATCTTGACTATTATTGAAGTAATTTATTAAAAATATAATTTGTATGCTTTATAATTATTTAATTTATGATATTATTATAATAAATGACAGATGTTTGTAATGCTAATATGTATGTTTACCAATACCTTTTATTTTCTTTGTTAGCTCTTGCATTTATTACTGTTATTCAAGTAATTAGCCTGCTTGTTAGATATTTTTTACTTGTTCTTGTGATATGTAATTCAATTTATTTATTTTTATTTTTTTCTTATCTATTATTGGCTTTGAAAAGTTAAATTGTAACCCTGTAGGCAGCAGGGGGGAAGAAATTTTGATTGGTTCAGTTGGACTATAGCTCGACCAGGGGGGGATTTTCATTAGCGCAGTTGGAGTACACCCGATGGAATTAGCCTTTGGGTATCGGAAATGGACATGTAGTTGAAGAACGAAAGCTTGCTTTATATTACAGAGATTTCTAATACATTAATTTAATATATTTAAAAAATATTTTAATAATATATACTTTTCTAATATATTTATTTTATTATCCAAAATTATTTTCTAATTAACAGAAAGGTACGGCATAAGTTTCAGTGATCAATTGTCAGAAAGACGTCTGAATGGTTTAATAATAATAATACAAGGAAATAAGCTTATTTTACACATGCCTTATGGCATAAGAAAAGGAACTTCTGAAGTATATTAAAAACTAAAAAGATTTACATATACCATAGAAATGATTTTTAACTCTAAACAAAATTACTGGTTATCGTTTCGGAAACAAATTTCAATACTTGCCCATAGTAAGACCAACTTGTGAAAGATTTTTTGCCAAACTGCAAATCATTGTGTAAGGAAGAAAATTTCCAAAAGCCATTTTGAAATTTTTAATAATATGACTAATAAGTCATAAGAAACTACTTTTTGATCCTTGTAACATGGGTTGTTTGAACTAACTAAGAAAAAAACTTTAAATTGCATCAGTATTATAACGAGCTAATAAATTTTAAATCACAGTGAACCATGTCAACCGGACAGCCAGACACAGCTGCTATAAAAATATTTCTACGGAAGTGGTTGTCTTAGGGAGGGGATAATTGATGCCAATGTTATTTATGTTGTTAAATTACCACTTTTGTCGTCCTGGTACAGTTTTCTGTCTACACATTTTGAATCTGAAATAATGCATTCAGCACGGCATGCACACTGGGTGTAAGGAAAGAGAAGCAACAGAAAGAAACTGGAGAATATGGTTAAATGATAAAAACCAAATCCTTAATACCACTATTGACAGAAAGAGACCAAAATGCAAATAAGAAGCAAATTTCCTTAAAGGCTAATAATGAAGAAGGATTAAAATTAGAATCAATGGTTAAAACCATGGGATTTTTATTGATATAAAACGTCAAATGCCAAATGAAGTGGTGTCTTTCCCCCCCCCCCCCAGTATAATTTTTCGATGTGGAGAAATGGAAAACATGATTTTTTTTTTTAACTAGCAATCGTAGGCAATGCAGAATTTATTAATTTCTTTTCTTTGAACATAATTTTGTGTTGTTCAGTACAAAATTTAGTTCACGCATCTCTGCTGTTTGGGGGAAACTTAAAAAAGAACTCTGCGAACATAATTAAAATAATAATAATAATAATAAAAAATACGGGTCACTAAAATAAATAAAAATTCAGATTCTTTTCTTGTGTTCTAACATATGTAATTATTACTTCAGTAGATTCTAATATTTATTTTATAATCATGCATTATTACTAAGGCAACAATACAGACATATATAAATTTTAACTATTTTTTACTGTCATTACATGCACAATTGCTGTTTTTTTTTATTAACAAGAGAATTGAACAAAGCATATCTATACTTTTGTATCAGCAATATGAGTAAGTTTCTGTTTATTAAGACTTTTAAAGTTCTCAAGATGAATTAATTCGAATAATGGAAATAATTGACTGTAGCATAGAGATTTATTCACATTGCGTCCACTCTCGTATACAGCAAGAAAAAAAAAATTAAATATAAAGAGCGGCCCTTATCAATTCCGCAAGATTTTCCATATACAACCTTAAAACGTAAACAAAGTATCGAAGCTTCGTAATCGATTACAGAGCGCAAAGCTATCAGCTATTTGTCATCGATGGGGAAAGGAGAGTCTGGGCCATCCGAAAAAGCGGCGACCGTTTAAAACATTCCTGGTAATGTGAGTCTCTTAATATATTAGTGGAACTGTTAACTTTGGCGAAACTTTTAATCAAATGATTAAATATTAGATCATTTAATTATATCTTTTATTAATTTTCACTTTTAGTCATTTGATTAAGCTGTAAGCACTAATACGGGACCGAAACGCAATGGTTCCTTCGCGAGAAAATCGCGTGAATAAGATTGCTAATGTATGACTATTATCGTCACCTTTGGTCGAGTTTATCTGCTCTGGGGGTTATCTCATCTAATGCTTCTTTCTTTTCTTCTGAAATTAATTAAGATTCTTTTGAATTGTTGTATATTTCTCGCGTGCTCTTTCTTTTAGTGGCCACACATAGCAGAATTTTGATGCTTTCACCATAGGTAGAAAGACAAGTAATCTTCCGCTTGACGTTTATCTGGAATCAATATTTAAATTTACCGAATTTTGGAACGTTTTCCAGATATAATTACACGTACTTTTTAGCAGTGTCCAATTGCTAACAAAGATTAATTTTCAAATGATTTTTCCTTTTTTACATCCGATCCGAGATAACTAGGATTAACCAATGAAAGAAAATCTGACAAGGTTAAAAAAAAAAAGAAATATACGAATTTAAGTCAAATATCTATAAAATAGGGATTAATAACTTTTACTAATGTAACAGTTTAAGCTAATATACCATACTCTTATAAATTATAGATATAACAAAAATATATATCTCTGAGGAAATGTTGCGGTTTTGGATAGTTTAAAGCAATAAATAGAATCAGCAAGCACTGGACACTGAAGCAATCGAAGAGCCTAAAATTTTATTTCAGAATAACTACTGAAAATTAACATTCTTATTGAAAAATTAGGAGATCTTTAAATAATAAATACTAGGCCCCCATTCTTTTATCCACTGATAAGAAATATATATCTTGGTGATTCTTCTTGAATGCTTTCTAAGTACGCCTATGACTAATTTTCTGATTGAAATGGTTCACCTTAATTCCTGCAATGTTTACCTGTCATTTTCTCCTCTCTAAACAATATTTATTTTTAGGGGAAGAATTCCTGCCTTTTTGCGAAGACGATGGATAAATCTAAGACCAAGAGAAGCTGTTATTGTCGAAATTTTTACTAATTTGTATGGCTGGAGTGTTTCACATTTTGCTGTTTACTTGAACAGTCTATGCCTGATATGGAGATCCGTTCCAGACACCTTCCTTTCGTACGAGGAAATGAAAAGTTTTCTGCTGAGACATGTTGACACCAAGGCTGTGGAGCAAATTTGCAACGAACTTCAAAATCGTGAGTACCACAGTTTTAACATGATCCATCAACCAAGAACGCTGTCGCATTATTCCCGGTGTGTGTTGAGGGATACTCTGATGTGCAATTCACAGTTGCCAGAGGGGATTGAACAACTTCCTCTGCCTAAACGATTACAATCTTATCTGAGACTCGAATTTTAGTTTCTGTATGAATGCAAGGTTTTTCTTCTACATTTCTCATAAAAATATGAAATGAAATTTGAAAAAAAATCGTAAATTTCTCATTCCAAAAAAATGCACATATGATGTATGAAATTTTATTGCAATTGAAAAAAAAAAAAAAAAAAAAAAAAAACTTAATCTAGGTCTCCACTTTGTTCACAAAAGTGTTCACCAGGCCTTTATTTTTGTAACCATTGGCCTTCACTTATTTGTAACATATACGTAGAAGCACAAAAATTTTTTAATTGAGAAAAATATTAATGCTATAGAGTTTTAAAAATTTAGAAAATCAGTTTTGTTAGATTTATTAATTAATTATTTTTTATAAAGCCTCATTGTATCTATACTTATATTTTGTTATATGTATATGAACTTCACAAAATGCCGTTGTTCTATACTGCTTGCAGTAAACTTAAGAATTGTTTGCAGAGTTTATTTTCATGAAAGCATACATTTAAAGCTATAATGATGTCAGTAAAGTACTATAATTGGTAATATATGTATAAAATAACATAAATGCGATATGTAATAATATGTATAACATAATATGTGTAGATAATAATATGAATAATGTAGATACTTTTAATAGGCTTAGTTTCCATTTTTCAGCTCTACAATACTAAATAAATTAATTTTTTTATTCATTTTATTTTCTTTTTCCTTTTTTTAAAGAATTCTGAGAACAATTAAAATTCACACGTAATGATCAGTTGAAGTATACACTTTCTTTAGAATAAATCAGAACTCCAGGCAAACATTCGTAAAATTATCATGAAATTATTAATGAAAAAAATAATTTATTGCTATGCCTGACGAAATTAACACATTGTTATTCTCAGACTATGGATGAAAAATGTCAAAATTAATTATAGTTTAAGCACTTAAAAACTTTGGAACTTAAATTAGATTGTAAACTTTTTTGATTAATTATACCATAGGATCTGCAAGAAAGTTAATCTCAAGAAAAATTAACCTCAATAAAGAAAATCTAACCTCAATAAGTACACTGCATGGTTCTAGAAGGTTTGGTCTTCTACAGAAGAGGTCTGTTTCGAAAACTAATACTCAGTACGAGAGTTTCTTTAAATTCTGAGAAGTGGTGATCATATTTTAAGGTTGCATCTGAAAGATATAGTCATGAAGATTTATTATATTTCATGATAAACATTTTGGTTAATAATATAGCAGCTTCATTATAATAATGTAATTTGCTTGAAAAAATAATTAAACATTTATGTAAAACTGAGAATCTGCGAAACTGAAATTTTTACGTGGGCAGAAATAAAGTTTTGCTTTAATTTCTTAAATTTACGACTGAGAAGAGTTAGACATATTTATCTAGCAAACAGTCTTTTTTTATTTATTTCTTTTTCTGTTTGAAATCAAGATATAGATCGTAGGTCGAGAGAAAATTAGATGGGATATTTTGATAGTTAAAATGAATATTCAACATGTCTGAACATTCGATAGAATATTAACGATTTGGTATGAAACCCTCTACATCCACTCTAGTTCTCCCGAAGAAAGATTAATACATAAAAATAAAAAGTACTTTTGCATCGCTCATATGCATATAGCCCTTTATCATTTGAATGAAAATAAGGTTCAATTACAATATTGCATTGTTTTAATTTTTTTTAAATATTGCGTTACATAAATGAATTTCCGTGAAGCACAACCTCGACATTTTCCTGAGACGCAAACAACAATATTATAACACAATTGGCACTTTTATGCCAATATCACGTATGGGTGCGACCACATATTTGTCATTTGTGTTTCCTAAAGATTGGAACATCTTTAATGCGAATTTGCAGGTTTTCATGAACGTACTGGCGCAATGATGCATTTTGTACAAGTGAACTAATTTTCTATAAGTTGTGTTAACCTGCTTTCATGCCGCACTTAGCTAATAAATAGGTAATGAGAGTGAAATCAAAAATTGCTTTTTCACAGCGAGCATCGATAAAAAGTTTTCCGCACTCTTATGAAGGCTGCATTTTTTATAAGTATGCAGTCGCCATTTTTGGAGACTTCGGTTTTTCGAAACAGAAGCCATTTTGAATAAGTTTAAGGTGCATTGAGAAAATCTCTCTATTTTACACCCACAGGTTCTCTATTTTACACCCACAGGTGTTAAAATGGAATCTGAAAGATCAAACCATAAAAGCTTTTTATTTTAGCACTTTTCATTAAATAAAACAAGAACCCTGATAAAAAATTGAGTTCAAAAAACGAATACTACTGATATTAATAATAGAATAATTTACGTGTAATAATATTTTTCAATGCTGAGAGAAGTCAACTGCCTGTTCGATGCCTATTTAATAAATAATTAAATTACTCATACTCATTACAAAAAATAACCCAAAATGATTTGAGCCCCACAGGAGAAAGGTGATAGAAGTATTTAATTAAATATTTAATATCTTGTTCAAGGGTGGTTCTCAAATCGAAAAGCGAACTGTTTGCACTGGTATATAATTAAAAATTTGATGAAAGCAGAATCTGCAGCGAATTCCATGTTTTAAACTTCAAATAAAGTACTACTTCGTGCTCATCGTTCACAAATAAATACTAGTTTATTATTCCAATAAAGAGAAAGAACTCGATTACAAAATTTTGGAGGATATTTTTACGAATATTTGGCACTTTGTAAAAACTAGTTTTTATAAATTTGTATCAACATAATAAAATATTTGGCTCCTAATTTCTTTTTATTAAAAATTGTATTTTATTGGGTAGATGAATAACGCACAATTTAATTGGTTCAAAACTAAAATTAAATGTTTTTAATATATTGAAAATTATATAGGCTGGCGGAGGTAAAAATGAAGTATCTGCTCCAAAACATTTCCTGATATTTATAGAATAACGTGGTAAAAATGTTTATTCCGAATTGCCATAAAAAGCTTTTATCAAGGTGAAGTTTTTTAAACAGGATATCCAAGATCTTACTCACAACAACTATATTCGTATACAATAAAACTTTCGTATTCCATAGAATACGATTTAATTAAAAGTTATATATGAAGAAATTAACGTAATTAGTTTTTTCATATATAACTTTTAAGGTTAACAATAGGTATAATCAGATTCTTCACAATATTTTGAATCTTACATTATCAAAATCAAAGGAATGGAACCATTAAGATGAGAAAATACTATATTCATTGCTACACTTCCTGTTATTCTCAGCTCAATAAAAAAATATGTACACTTGAATGCTCTTAATTCGCAGGTGTTAGTAAACGCATAATATTCGACGCTAATTTTAGCTTGAGTCATTTTTGATAATATACCATGAACTTTAATCTGAATATCAGTGCGTGATCAGAATGTCGGAAACGAAATTTTAACAATTAAATAAATTAATAAAATGAAAGCATTGCGAGATTTTCTACTAAAATGAAAGCGGTATTTATACACCATATATTACTAACTGCCAAATAGCTGCTAAACAAATACAATATAAAACGTAAACTACAGCATGATGTTACGTCATATGCGCAGTTTCAACGATTCAGCGTCACAAGAGCAATTGAAGCCCATTGGCCCATTATTGAGACCCCTCCCTCAGTGGCCATACTGATAGGCATTTATAAATTACAGTCAAAAGTCGTTAATTCGGACACCCATAATCCGGAATGATCTATAATCCGGACCTCAAAGCTAAAAACGTTCTGCGCATGCGCAGCGTTGGCACATGCGCACAGGCGTTTTACGCGTGCGCGTAAGATCTTGACTAGTGCGCATATGCGTGTGCGCAAGTGCAGAATACGTTTTCGCCTGCGCGTTTAATGTATAACGGACGGTGTAAGCTAAAATTATCTAATTATCTATTTCAGTTAATGTTAATGATTGCGTTTGTTCCTTAATCTTCGAATTGGATCCCGCTTATTATTTTTTGCAGACTGTAACAGCAATTTTATAAAAGTAAACTTGAACTTTTTTTTTTTTTTTTTTTTTTTTTTTTTTTTTTTTTTTTTTTTTTTTTTTTTTTTTCTTTTTTTGTTCCCGAATTTTTTTTTTTTTTTTTCTGTGATGTGGTGGTCTTATTTTTTTTTGCAAGGATCTACAAAATTTCGGCTGGAACTTTCGATACAAAACTTTTTTCCAACAAACAAAATGTGGAATTGCTGCAAAAAATGGATAAAGACATGAAGAATGTGACAGAGAGGTTAGTGAAAACAAAACAATTTCGATTGACAAGTTAGTCGGTATTCTCGGCACAGCAATTAACGGGACTTGAACAGTGGAACTTTGTAACTGAACAAGAAATTATGTCTGTTTATAGAATTAAAGAGAAAGTATTATCCTATAAAATGAAGCAACTTAAACAACTTACATTGAAAGAAATGTTTCATAAAGTAAACAAATAAATATTAATTTTTTTTTTTTTTTTTTTTTAAATTGTGAACCTTTAGATCATAATTGTTCTTTATTTCATAAATTATGTTTATATTTTTATTTTAGAATTTCTGCATGTAAATTTCTGATGATCTATAATCGGAAAATCGAACGCCCGACGAGTATTAACGATTGACTGTATTGTGCATCCGGCGCACGTGAGACACGTGGCGTTACTAGACATAACACTGATGCACATAAAGATAACAGGAACGCTACACACAGCGACAACGATCGTTCTCGTAGCCCTATAAAGTTGAATGAAAACTCTGCGGTTAATTCGGATCATGAAATAACATTAGATCAAGATGTAAGCTCCGATGAGGAATTTTACAGGAAAAGGCGAGGCGATCAAACTGTACGTAGTCGTACTGTTAAGGCGACGGTGATGAAATCAAAACAAGAGCACAAAGCACTTGTTATAAGTAACTTACCTCCCTTAACTAAACCCGATATTGCACCCGCTAAAAGCAACACAGAGAGTACGGGTAAAAATAAAAATATGACTAAATCTCCTTCTAAGGTGAACAATAATGATGAGGATAAAATGAATAACGCTAAAAATTCTGATATTGAAGAGAATGTAGAAAATGCAAATACAGCTGATAACGAAATAATGGATACTTCCTCTGCTGCTAATGAGCAGATTAGCACTTCAAAAATAGACACTACCACGCAAAATGATGACCTTGAAGCGGAATTTGTTAAGAAAAGTAGAGTTCCGCCCATTACCATCAGAGTTAGTAATAAAATTTTTCAAAATTTAAGAAACACATTCATTGAGAGAAACATAGATGTCATGAGTAAAAATACCCCTAAAGGTATTAAAATTTTTGCAAAGGATGCTAATGACTACAAAGTCATTGTTAGACTACTTCGTGCTGCCAAAATTGAACACCACTCATTTATACTCCCTCAGGATAGAGACTTAAAGGTTGTAATCCGGGGTTTACTAATTGATACTGAAATCAATGACATACAAGACGCACTCGAAGCTCAAAACTTTACTGTTAAATCTATTAAGCAGATGACCCGTAGGCGTAACGGTGACGTTATAAAGTTACCATTATTCTTAATTACACTT